TGTCAAGGGTTGGTTAGTGATTTCTTGGTCACAAGGCGTTTCCAGTTTATGCCGCTGAGAATCTTCTTCCAATAACTCTAATTAAACCTTGACCTGAAGGTTTTATATCCGATATATCAGTATTTCCCAACCTATATCCTCAAGGGGGTCACAAAGCATTTTGGTGCGTGCGTGTGTGTTGAGAATTGCTTTATATTCGTTGGAGCCCTCGGTAAATAATTTATTCCTTGATCTTCTAGGGCAGAATATTAAACTTAGCATCTATGTGTATGTAGGAGACACAGATCCTTTGGGGTGAGAAAGAAACCTCTGCTTTCTGAGAAAACGTGACTTCAGGATATTGAAAATGTTGTTTTTATGCAAACGTAGCAAGCCAGTCGCAGGTTACTTGGCCCTAATAAAAAGGGGGTCGTGACTCAAAGAAGGCTGGGAACCACTGCTATCAATGGACCGGTGTGTTGTGAAGCATAACATTAATTTTCCTCTCCCGTCATCTCTGTTTTAGGCGACTAGTTGACTTAGCATAACAGACACACTGGGTACCAAACTTTGGAAATGCTGCTGTTGGGAGATTACATTTCCCAGAATCCTTCAGCCAGCTGAGGATGCTGTTTGGAAGATTCTTTGGACTGTGATCTCAAAAAGTAACTTTTATTGATCCATACACAAATGGAACTGCCGAAAAAGAAGGCTTTACCTTTGTACAGAAAGAAGGTTGGTTAAAGTACAGTACTACAGTCGTAATGTTACTTATTAACAAGTTTCATATAACATTATACAAATAAGTAAACCCCTGCGATTTCACATTGATAAAGACTCAATGGAGATCTTAAAAACTCCTAATTACGCTAGTGAACCATGCCAATGTTTGATTTTTTTGAAGCTTTGCGGAGTCATAACCAAAATGAATAACTTTCTGATGCTAAAGAAATATACTTTTTTTTTTTTTAAAAAAAGAGCAAATTATGGGCAATAAAGAGTTTTCAACCAGAAATCTTAAGAAATTAAGAGTGAGACAAAAACGTGGAACCAGTATAGTAATGATGATAACGACGATGGAATTTGAATCACTCTGTGCCTTCCGTTGGGGAAACTTTTATTCCGGTGTTTTTTAAAGTGTTGATTCTGATACCAGAGACCACACTCGCAGTATAAATCATGTTTATTTAAATCATTATATGACACTCACAGACTGCAGTATTGGCAGGAGGATCTATGAGCCACTATATGGTCATCTTTTTGTTGTTCAATATGTCTAAGTGGCATAGCGGTAGAACGATGTCAGTGTTTCTAAAAAAAAAGGGAACCGTTCACTGGCTGGGATCTTAAATCTGTGTAGTGTTCTGACATCTTGTGGATAAAACAGATATTGCAAGTGTGAAAAAAATATGCACAGCTAATTCCAGAAAAAAAGGGAAATTTCCTTCTGCAGAGAGTACTTCTAGCTACTTCCTTTCACAGCATGTGTGTTGAAAGCTAAGGATGTAAGAAGCAGGAGGTCAAGACTATCTAGTTCTGGAGAGGCCAGTGAGGGAAGGGACTGGGAGAGCCAACCTCCAGAGTCTGAGTACCTGGGCTCCTTTATACAAGCCTTGTCTCAAAGGGGTACCTCCTGACCCCCAAGCTATCTCATTCCTGCCTTCCAGAACCTGGCATATCAGGGAAAACTTCCTAACCGTTAGAGCAGTACGACAATGAAAACCAATGACTTTGGGAGGTGGTGAGGGCTTCCACACGGGAGGCCTGCAAATAGGTTTCCCCCCCTTAACCCATGACCTCGGGAGGTGGTGAGGGCTTCCACACCGGAGGCCTTCAAATAGGTTTTCCCCCCCTTTTTTTCCAAAGCCCTTTCCCCCACCCCAGAAAAAAATGAAAAAAAAAATATGGAGTATGGAATGTGTTCTTTTATAATAATAAACAATAGGTATGTGACATGATATTCAAACTATATAACATGGACCTTAATGAAAGACTTGTGAGACTTTATGTATTTAAGCTGTTTCTAGAGGTAATGTTTTTGAAAAATTCCATTTTTCCCCAGGAAGAAAAAAGTTTTTTTTCCCTGGAAAAAAAGTGGAAATGTCCAGAAATTTTATATCTCTCGTTGAGTCACATCCTGTTCCCCCTTCAAAGTCCAGAGCAGCCTATATGGCAACCCCTTCCTTAACTTGACAACTTTCTAGATCTTAGTGATCTGCTCAAGGTCACCTTAACCTTTCACTGGTCGCTCTAACCCAGAAATTTGGACCGTGGGACTGTCTGGATATCGGCAGACTGTTTCTCTCTTCCCTCGCTGCTGGACCTGGTGGCTGCAGCGGATGGGATACGTGATCCAGGCAGAACTGGAGAGCGTCAGCGGGGTTCGTATCAGGATTGATTCTTCATGTAAAAGAAGACTTGAGATCCAACTAATTAAACTGTTAAACTTTTCCTATTTATGTTCTCACCCTTGATGACTTTTTTCGTCATGAAATAATGGAAAGAACACAGAGGACGCAATTTAAATTTTAAAGCATCTTGGCCGTACTTTTATTGATTGGACAGCTTAGCAACATTCCTTTTTTTGGAGGCACAGCCTTCAGCAACGTACGATAGGGCCCCTTGGGTTTTAATGCCCAAGCCTTGAAAGCAAGGAAATACACGACCCAACAAGAACCCCGAGAGACCGTTCTTTAAATAACTTTATTTTGCACGTTCCTTTCCAGCCTTTCAGAAGATGCCGCTGCAGGTGATATACTGGAGACAATATGCCATGGCCACGAGGGAGGAAG